GTTTTGCGCCACCCGTCTCCCCACCTCCACCTCGAATCCCTGTTGACCCTTCAGCGGCGGAAATTTTGTTTTAGCATGCTCTGTCCTTTATCCCGTCCCTTCTTCTTCCGTCTTCCTTGTCACATATCTCATCCGTCAACTGTCTCATGTGAGCATGTAACAGAACACCCTGGCAACTATGAATACATCTTATACTCATCACATCAGATGCTACACCATTAATAAGGCCTTTCGTCACTAATGTGTCACACTTTTAACGTTTTACACACCTAAAAAATTAATTCGTAACATTGTGTGAAAATTTTTTGATTATATCCCATTTGACAATTCTTATTTATGTATCTTAGATATCACTTGTATTTGTCTTAAATAGCGCGTTTTCACACAAACTCGTGTATTGTATATATTTACTGCATTTGTTTGACAGTAGTTTGTCATACTGCCATAGCGTCTGACATATCAGCTGGCGGTTGTCTGGATACGTGCTTCACACTTCAGCCTCGGTGCCATGGTCCATGTCCTGTGCTGTGTGGTTTAGGGTGTGTGTTTTCTCTTCGGTGTGTGTGTGTGTGTGTATGTCTCTACATTTGTCATCCTGTCACCTGCAGATTATCAGAGCATTCTAGCGGAGCTGCAGTCCCCCGCTGCACTGCACTCCGACCCCAACTTCCTGGAGCCCGAACTCCCCGTCACCCCCAACCCTTCCCTCGCCCGCCTCCAACACCACCATTACCCAGAACCAGACAGCCCTTTGCTCGCCGACTCCCCCGCTCAGCCCCTCCCCTGGAGCCCGGAGATAGAGCTGGACGGCCCCCCTAGGAGCCCCCCCAGACCCTGTGAGCTGGCCCTGTCTGTCCCGGTCTTTGTACTCCCTGACCCTGTCCCTCCCAAGGTGGTGAAGCCCCACATCGCTCTGAACGACCAGCTGCTTTTGAGCGAGGAGGAGGACAGGTCCTGTCACGAAATGGCGTTTAGCCACAAGCCCAGGTCACACTGCCCCCCTGCCATGTGTGAGCTAGACATCGACATGGCTTACTCAACATCTTCCCCTTCACTCTCATCCGTATCATCAATAACCCCTTCGTCGCCCGAGAGGAGAGATGGGAGAGTGCAGATGGGCTCCCCCGATGTGGCACAGGGCGATTTGTTTCTTAAAGGACGTGAAAAGGAGGTGACAATGGAAATGGAGAAGGTTGTCGAGATGGTCGCAGCGGAGTTGGCGAAGGGAAATGGATTAGTGGAAAAGTGGGTAGAGCAGGAATTGATCAAAAACGTGGAGAGAAAATGTGAGATGATAACACAAGACAGGCCCACGTTGGCAGAGGAGAACGACATTTTGAAGGAACCTGAAGTGGAAAAAGGTTGCACCGCAATAGAGGCAGAGGCTGCCAAACAGGGTATAGATGAAGCAGCTGAGGATCAAAAAGTTGATGGGGTCAGCGGGGAAATGGTCCACCAGGACGTCACGCTGCAGTTCAGAGATGAAGAAGGGTTGTGTGGCGGTAAAGGAGACATTTGCGGTACAACAGAAGAGGACCGGCCAGCCGAGGGACGCGCGGTTACACCGATCTCTCCTCAGGCCTGGGTTGAGGCCCTGGGGGAACGTCAGCCCAGTGAGTCCGAGTCCAGCGGGCAGGAAGAGGAGGGAAACCGAGACAAGGAAATCCCAGAGGAGGCCTCTCTTTTGGAGGAGGAGGAGAAAGAAGAAGGCTCAGAGGAGAAGGAGGAGGACAGAGAGATGATGACCCAGGCCAGTGTTCAGGAGATTCTTGATCAGGTTGAACAGGCAGAACAAAAAGTGTGTTCATTTTCAGGTTGGCACAGTGATACGTCCAGCGTCAACGTGGAACCACCGACGCCAGGCCGCAGCGTCAGCTCCGAACTGCTCGACAGGCGGGAAAGGTAAAATGATCAAACAACCACCGCAGGTCTTCGCTCGGACCAAACGGACACGTACCAATATTACTAAGACTCTGCCGCGAGTCTGGAACGCGTGCTTTCTCTGTCGACAGCCAAGAGAAACTCCAGCGAGTCCGTCACTTTCTTCGTTCCAGAGGGGAGTCAGCGAGGTCCCGACAGAAACGGGCAACAACTCCAAGCACGCGCTTCAGGAGCGCTCGGCGAAACGGCAGAAAGCAGAGGGAGCACTGGTGTCGGAGAGAAAAGTAAAGGTATAACACTTCACTAACGTAGTTACCTGCGGCTGTTAAAGCACTATATTCTATTTGTCACCGGGGGAGACACGTCTGGACCTGTGTCCACCATGTGTCCTGTGCTGAGGAAAGCAGAACTTTATTGGTTTTTATTCCAGGAGACAACTAACCGTGGAGTCGAAGTACATCTATTACAACCAGGCAAATGTCACAACTATACTCGTTGTTTCACTGCTCTCTCCCTCTCGACTCCTGTCGGCGTAATGATCACCCTTCCTCTGCAGCATTTTAGTGTAGAATCAGGTTCAGAAGAAGAACAGACCGTAACCACCAGAATCTTCAGCCGCCGTCTCATTTTAAAGGTATCCCGAAAAAAAGCCCCGGAGCAGAAGCTGGGCTGAGCTTGGGCTTTGGTGTGGGTTTAAACTCTCAGTGGAGTGTGCGTTGCAGTGGTATTTCTTGGTGTACTGATAGTATGTAGATGTTGCTATGTTCATGTTTGTGTATCCGTTTTATTTAGATGTGCTGGTTGAAAACTAACGTAGTTCCAAACCTCTATCTGACACAACGGTTGAGGTGGTGTTTGGTCGTGGTGGTGGTGGTGGTGCAGGATCCTTTTGTCATGTTTGAAATGGCCATTTCTGAGCTTTTATCCATGTGTTTAACACAAACGCCTACAGGGAGAACAAGCAAAGAATATCCCGGGCGAGACAATGACCGAAGAACACTACGTGGACCACGACGGTAACCTCGTCAGTAGAAAAGTAATGTATAACTTCTATAACTAATCCATTTCTCCTTCAGCTCGGGATAATAAAGCACCACAAAGAGAGTTTGTTTTCATACAAGCAGACTCCCATCAGCTCTCTCCCTCCTTTGTCATCATTCTTCTTGCACGAACAGGTGATCAGGAAGGTTATTCGGCGAGTTTCTAGTCCCACACCAGGACACCAAGGAAGTGACAGAGAGCACCGACACCTTCTGCACAGTCCCCCTCTGCAGGAAGACGGGTCAGAGTTTGGCATGGATACCCGGTTTCTGTGTTCCTGGGTTCAAGGTCTAATCTAAATGAAAGAGCTGGATCATGAGAGAACATAACTGGTGGAAGATTAACAGATAATACAAAAGTTAGGCCTAACGCCTCGCTGGGCAAAACTCCATTTAAAAAAAACACAATTCCTTCACGAGGGCTGTAACGGAGGAGAGCAATTGGAATTGAGTAATACATGAGAAATTCAGTCAGCGTGAGCTGTATGTAGCTTCACCAGCGTGCTGGAACCAACATACGCATAGATATACTCTAATATATACAGTATACTCATATACTGCGTGAAATTGTCATGCATGTGGATAAAATGCTTTTCTTAACTCCAAAGCTTCTGTTGGAGAGTTTTCAAAAGGGTGAATCAGTGCGAAAGCAAAAGAGAAAGAAATACTGTTTCTAAAAGAAAAGCCCAGTTTGATACTTCATGTCATCTTTCGGTAACCTATTTTTAACCATTCACTTCTGTTTGAGTTCAAACTCAAGTCAAACAGTTACATGTGATCGTGTTCTCCTCCTGCGGTGCAAGTGAATTGTTGATTAACACTGGATTCACTGGTTCGGGATAACTCCTCATGATCTCTCTTCTGGGAAAACACTAAAAAAATGTAAATGCTGCTAATTTGAGGTGCATTCTTGCATGCTGTGTTTTGACACCGTGCGGTGTCTATTGTGTTCGCCTAACAAAGAGGAGGCTGACTCTGCTCCTGACTGTGTGGTTTTTAATGGTGTTTTAAAGTGTTTAGCCGATTACTCAACAGTACAACTAATGAGTCTGCTGTGAAAATACAATCTGCCTCTTTTCAACTCTTTCCATAATAATATAACCTGCCTTCGTCCAGGTCTGGTTGCTGTGTGGTTTGGGTCCTAATAATATCACTAACCATTTTTATTACTGCTAACGGGCAACTTTCTGCTTTTCCTGCAGTACGTGGAGTTTTGCTTTCTCCTCTGTCTCAGTTTTACATCGCAGGTGTGTGTGTGTGTGAGTTTGTGGTTGTCTCGGAACGCCACGTCTCATCGATATTTGTGTGTGTTTTCTAGCAAGGAGAAGGTTCCAGGAATACCAGGCGAAAGGATGACAGAAGATCAGGGGATAAGAAGCTCCACTCATAGGGACGGTTGTGCTCTACCAGGTACAGTGTTGTGACACACGTGTGTGTGTGTGTGTGTGTGTGTGTGTAGTAGCTGTACATTGTCCTCTCCATATGAATACAATGATGCTCCAATTTCTCTTCTTTATTATACTCTGGTCCTATTTCGTTGTTGAAACTCTTGAGCGCGCACTCGCTGTGTATCCTCCCCTTGGAATGAGAAATTAAGGCAATTATGCTCATTGGCTTTTTTATTCACTTGCTTGAATGAAGTTCAGTAATACGCCGCCTCTGCTAATTTCCCTCCCCCACTCAAACCGTAATGTGAAAACATTTTGTGGTTTTGTGGCTACGTGCCGTAGCTGTTTTATTTTTATTAACAACAGCCGTGCGCAGTCACTTCCAGGAGACGTGACGTCAAACACAGCGAGGTTGCCAGGCAACCAGTGGCTATGCCGCACAGGGGTGCTGGGCAGTCAGATAAGCAGTTGTTTGTCCAAAACTGAAATTGTGAAAAGTAAATGTCCCCTTTATGTGTTAAATAGCCATAGATGTATAAGAAGAATGCCCTTAAAACTGCAAAAAAAGGTCAATTCTAATCATTTTTATTATAAATATTTAATCTACGGAGGTTTCCAATTTGTTGATCTTTTCCCAAGCTGTAAAAGCAATTCAAACATCTGTGACGTTTTTACTTCTGGTACGGCTTCTGGTCTTTATACGTAGCTCCATATACCTGATACATGTCTCCTGAGTCCGATATTGATCTCAAAAAAGCAAAATCCGACCGACCCAAAAGGAAAAAGGCTGACTGATGCCTGAGCCTGGTTATCCCCTTGGCAACATTTCCGCCCACTGCGTTTATTGAGCGTGTGTGTGCTCCGGGAACACACCTCAGCATTATATTCCCCCGCTGGTACCCTCTGTGCCTTTTTTTTTTTTTTTGTCCGCTAAATCCCCGACTCACAACAGCATTGTAACAGCATTGTAACAGCCAAAGAGAGATTGTTATCCCAGCGGCCAGACTGTTAATCCCTGCCGCTGTTCACTCGCGTGTTGTGTTTGCAGGGAATCATTCCATCTGTACAAAACTGACTCAGAGATAATATAACATGAGTTTCTATGGCAACTGAGGTCACTGTAACAACCCACGGACCATCAGATCTTATAAACTGGTTTTATTTTTGTCATTTAGCGCATTGGGGGACCTTTTGTGTGCTTTTACATATAGAAACATGAGAAAGGTTAAACCCTTTGAATTTGATTTCACCTGTGGAAATGTGTTGTATGGCAACTGTAAACGTATTATACAGGAGTAGTGCGCTGCAATACGTGATGTAGTTTTTTGTGTGTTCCAGACGAACAGAAACAAAGTCTGATGTTTCCTGGGAAAAGGAGTTCAGAGAGCTGAAGTGTGACGGCTTCAGGGTCCAGTCCGCTTCAGACAAACGTTTTTCACGTGAGAGGAGTTTGAGCCTTCAGACTTACGCATGAGCATGAGAAAAACTCACTTCCTGTCGACGAGAGAGGCCGCGAGGCTCCGGCCTCCTGACTGCAGTGGACCCGCGGACAATGATTCTGCTTCCTGTCTTGTGTGAAAACGAAACGTGCCATCGGCCCACCGGTGTCGTCCGCGCTTTACTTGAGGAGCACAATTTGTGGTGAAAACGATAAAAGACGCCATTACTGACGCCCGCACAGGTGTACCTGTGACCAAAGATGGCACAAGAGCTAAATCCACAAGGTGGGTGGAAAAGAATAAAGTAGACACAATAACACAAAAAAAAAAAAAAATCCAATGGAACACTTCTGCTCCAAGTTCAACACTCGCCTTATAGTTTTTTCTTGAAACCATTGTTGTCGGGATGTAAATTGTTTTGGGATTTTTTTTTTCTTCCTTTTTAAAACTTATACTAACACAAAAGCGGTTTTCTGTATATAAAATTACAATGTGTAAAATTCTTAATAAAGCGTACGCTTGTGGTTGAGAATGCACTGAGGAGATAAACCTTTTCAAGTGCTTTCAAAACTTATCGAAACGGTTCCACTTTTAAAGATTTGAGTGTAACTTCACAGGTTCTTGTATAATTAACTATTAGAGCAGGTATAATGTTTGTAACAAAGAGAACTGGTTTGATTTTAAATAAGGACATTTCCAGAAAAATCAAATTTCAGTAATTCCCAAAGTGGGAATGGATCTAATCCTACAAAATGCAGCCTTTCAGAGTACTCCTATTTTCATGCATGCTGTTCACATTATTTTAAGTACAACTTTTACAAGTTTGCAAACACTGTATTCAATGACAAATAAACCCCTTTATCTGTGTGCACATATAGCCCTAACATTTGTCACCGATTTTATACTTTGAAATGGCAAAAAAACAAAAACAACCATTGAAACATGTATCATGTTGGGATGAGGATGAAAAGGAGTTTGATAGCTGGTTGAGGGCGTGATGTCTTGTCTGTTAACGTGGAACCGGAGGGCGGCTTCTGCTACAGGAACAAAATAATCTGAATGTACTGCTGGTAGGCTGGCTCGCTGTAAAGTTATAACCGTATCGTGCGTATTGGCTATAAGATGTAGGAGTCTCTGTTCACTGTTAGACTTTTTGTAATCATTTTCGCAGTGTGTCAATTTGGTTTTCTAACGGCTGCTGTGGCATTAAAGGAAAACTAGGGCATTTTATTTTCTTATTTTTGGGGGGTATTTCCTTAATTCAAAGCCTAATCACATTAAGGACACACAGAAACATTATTTGATTGTAGCTCTGAATAGCATATTGTATGACAAAATCACTGGATGGTCAAAAGAATTGATTTAAGCATTAAATAAATTGTTTAACTCTGAAACCGTGTGATCTTTTTAGGCTTGACAGTCTGCAGTGTCAAAATGTTACTTTACATTAGGAATTCTCTGTATTGGTTTTCATTAGATGCCCATGTAGTTCATGTGTGGTGTTCTACTGGTGCAGAGGCTCAGTGTGCTGACGTCTATGCTGTGGACATGAAAATTATGCGACTTTTTTTGGGGGGTGGGGGGGGTGTAAAGGAAGTCCGCTAGGGTGCTGTACCACATCCCCTTATACAACTGTATCAATCAGAGGGGAGGGACCTTTGATATGGTTGAACTGTCAATTTTGTTTGATATGTGTTTTCACCTGAGCAGATTTTTTGATGTACAATTCTTACTAACAAGAGTGAAGCCATTGAAATGTAACTATTCTAGCACTTTGGTTATTCGAGGTCTTTTAGAGGCTATAGCAGCAATGATGCCACCACAAATGTTTCAGACGTCTTTAAAAAATAAAAAAACCTAAAAAAAAAATTAAAATGCATTGATTTCGCAATATAACCGTTTCCTGTCTTGTCTTTGTGTCCTTGGACCTTTGTTGTTATGGAAGTGCTGAGACACTATATACCCTTCATCCAGAATGCTGCCTCACCAAAGTGCCCTTGAGCAAAGCAATCTCCAGGGCTGCTTGTTTCTATGTTTGAACCACCTTGTTGGGGCCTGGAAACAGCACGTCCCCATGAGGACGATGCTAGTTAATGTTGAATATTTAATTAATGGACTGCATTTACAAAGCCACAGAACATCTTGTCATATGAACAAGCGGGAGTCTGGGGGATTGAACCACCAACCCTGATTAGAGGGGGGAAAAAACAACTGAGATCCAGACACAATGAATAAATAAATGATCAAATGCAAACCCTATTTCAAAGCAGTTGCACCAAAATGGTCCCTCTCACGTGTATGATTAATTAACATTTTATATGCCGATTTATCGATATCGATTGTTGATGCATATGACGTATGATGTTTAGTTAGTAAAGGAACTAGCGGTACTGCCCAGTTGTTTGTGTGGTGGAACACACCTCTGCTTCTTTGAATAATCACAAATGCTTTTTAGGAGTATATATACTCGTTAAACCATCTCGTCGTTCAGCTCCAAAATGTGCTCCGGGCTCAAGATGGCAATCTGACGCATTTGGAGGAGGAAAAAAAAGAACATGTTTTTCAAGAGTCCAGTTTGGTGTGCGGCGGTGGATGGATGGATGGATGCATTTCTCGGTACCGGAGACGGCCTGGCGATGGCGCTGTGCCGACACGCGAGAGCAAGGTCACACGGTGCGCCGTTATGCCGTCTGCGCCCCGCTAGCGCTGCAGCTGCCGTCGTCCTCCGCGCACGGCACACTGTCGCACAGCCATGGCCGACAGCGCGAGCGAGAGCGACACCGACGGAGCGGGCAGCAGCTCGGCCACCCCGATGTCGTCCTCCGCTTCAAACTCGGGGAAACCGAGCGTCGTCATTTCGCAGTTTCGCCTGGAGGAACTGACGAACCGCCTGGCCTCCTTGCAACAGGAGAATAAAGTTCTTAAAATTGAGCTGGAGACGTTCAAACTCAAGTGCAAAGCCCTGCAGGAGGAGAATCGGGACCTCCGCAAGGCTAGCGTCACCATTGTGAGTAACGTTAGCTCGCTAGCTAGCCAGCTAGCGAGCTAAATGCTACCCAGTTATTGTAGCATTTTTCAGCAAGTTGGCTACGGCTGTTGCTGCTGGTTGGCGTTTTAATACCTAGTGTCTTCACACGTGAAATTGTTACGTTAAAATGCTACCTGCATTTGATTGCAAACACTTTGGTGTTTTGCTAGCTCCGCTAACATTAGCTAACGCTAGTTTTGTATGTTGCTAAATCAGCCAGGAGGCTAACGTGTGCTAGGGGGTTGGGCAGCTACAGCCAGCTAACGTTAGTTCGCTTTGTTTTGCTTAGCGTCGCTGACGTTAGCTCAACGGGTCGCCTTCGGTTAAAACTGCGGTAAAATAAGGGTGGCCCGCCTCCCGATGGAAGTTAACATGCGGATGTTAGGTGCTGGGTCAGCTGATAACTCTCTGTATGACATTCGTCACCACGTTGTACCCGACGAGGACACGGTAACCGGCTGCAAATAAACAGCCCGGCGGCAGCATTGCCAGGGACCTCTGCGTCACGTCTCCACGCTCCGCTCACCAGCCGCGCCTTCATAAAACTGATCTGTTGGATAGATGGGGAAGTACAGTAGCTAGGGCAAACTTAGCGAGCTAGCTCCCTGCCGGGCTCAGATGTTGGCGAAGTCAGCCGCGGTGTGCCGTGTCTGTACCATGGGGCCGTTGTGAGACTAACAAGGACGCACGTATCATCACACTGTAATGCTAACGTTAGCCGCTGTAGCTGTCCCGCACATTTCCTCAGTGCCGCCCCCCCCTCCTCCGCTGTTCGCTTTTCCCGTCAGTCAGTTTACTGCAACACCCGTTGAGTCACCGGGGAAAACCCTGCTTCCTCTTTGGCTGGGAGATTTCACCGCAGTGTGTTTTGTTTGCAGTTGGGGCCGGATCTCAGAATACTCACTACCTCACTGGTTCTTTGCCCCCCCACTGTCTCTCATCCCCACTGTCTCTCATCCCCACTGTCTCTCATCTGTTATCTTGTTGTCTGTCGCGCAGCAAGCGAGAGCGGAGCAGGAAGAAGAATTTATCAGCAACACCTTGTTCAAGAAGATCCAGGCCCTCCAGAAGGAGAAGGAGACTTTGGCGGTCAACTATGAGAAGGAGGAGGAATTTCTCACCAATGAGCTGTCAAGGAAACTCGTGCATGTGAGTGATGGGGGGTCATGTGGGGGTGTAGAACCAAAAATACCCATTTCCTGTCACTGGCTAGAGTTGTGTGAACCAGGCACCAAGAAGAACACCATGACATCAGTGTGGTCGGCGGACAGATAACGCAAATTGTGTAGCGTTTTTCGCTGCAGTGTCGTGGTCGTGTGCAGCTCGGGGGTAAATATGCACCCGAACCCAAGTATGAGTGGACATCGGCTGTATTGGCCCTAACTCGAAGCCTGGAAAGGATCACCATGACTTCACAGTGGCTGCTTGCCGCTCCTAAATGGCTTTCCAATTACTCTCCTCCCTGCTGCCGGTCATTTGGTTGTCCGTTTCCCACGTGTTATTTTCCCAACTGCGGAGCGCACAGCGCGTGTACTCACGCTCTCGCACCTTAAAACGGCCAGCCGTAGGCTGACTGATGGTTTGTTGATGGGTGAAGTGGGAGTCTGGAAGGGATACATGCAAAAGCCTCTGCAGCCCCCGTTTAAGGTCCTACACCGCTTTGGTTATCTTGGCGTCCCGCTTAATATGAAACAGACCCGTGTCTGTGTCTGTCTGTGGACCCTGCTACTGACAATAGCCCAAAAGTGTGTGTGTCTGTGTACATATACTAAAAGACTATAGGGAGGGTTGGGTTGGTTACAACATTTTATTCCAACTTGTGTTTTCCCCATCACTACTTTAAATGATGGCCTTTTTTACTTTCCAAAGCAGCATTTATTTCACCCCTTTTGGCACATTAAGAGCTATAATGCGTCCCGTTCCTTACATTTTGTAACGGGCCAAATTGCATTTGTCTTTTCAGAGTTCCTATTTCTTACATTACGCAGACACCGGCGCGTTGCCACGGTTCATGCATGACCTCCGAGCGGCCGGCACACGGAGGACAGACAAACCCCGAGTGGGATAAAATGTCACGGTGTCCGTTCCCTGAGACTGAAAGACTCTGGCACCGTTGCCACTTGCAACACAATGGGGTGGAAGCCGGTTTGGAGCTGGCAGCCGCTTTGGCTAAATGGAGACATATTATCAAAACAGTGCCATGCATTGTTTGTTAATTGGAAGACAAATGACTGCACTGGGTGTGGCAAAACTTGATGGCTTGTTCTTTCATGAATGCGATCATTGCGAGTGAAAACAAACTGCTTCTCTTCAAAGTGTTCTGTTGGTGGCCGCACCCGGTCTTTTGCATTTGAATCCTATTCTCTGTAATGAGTAATTGCTCATATAATATAGCGCAAAGCCGTACCGTTTTAAATCCGTGCTGAGCCGCACCCTGTCTTCAGATCGGCGGTTACTTTCTTTTGCCAAATCATTATTTAGTGCTGTTTACTCCTCGCGGCAATTCAACCATGCATCTGATAAGATGGCAACAATCGCTTCCTGTTTTGTTTCACTCCAAATGTGTACGCTAAATGTGAGGACCTGACACCAGTGTGTTTGTTCACTGTGGTCATGGAATAGCTTTCATGTGACTCACTGTGTGCCTCTTCTTGTGCCCTTTCCTCTCTCTCATACTTCTCACCACTCGCACACTTGCTTCGTCCACTTCTTCTTCGTTTTGACCGCTTTCCCCTTTTTCCAATCCAGCTCCAGCATGAGAAGGCCGAGTTGGAGCAGCACTTGGAGCAAGAGCAAGAGTTCCAGGTTAACAAGCTCATGAAAAAGATCAAAAAGATGGAGAATGAAACCATCTCAAAGCAGCTCACCCTGGAACAGGTACGCTCACTGCACCAAAGCACAGAACTTTCACTCTATTCCTGAACTTGGCTATCCAGTTGTGTCCAGTCATTGTGAGATGACTACGTTTCACCATCCTTAATGCCTTTTCAGCTTCTGTGGATGAAGAAAATCCACTGATGCTTAATTGAACTTCACTTCCGTCCGTTAAACTCAACACAAAAACTACTTTGGCCTTTAGGATAATTCTATGGTAAATAAGATGTCTTTAAAGAACATTTGCTGTGTTTTAGTCTTTTTAACCAGCCGGCATAAAGACTGTAGCTCATTTAAAGAGAAGCTTATCTGGACAGAGGCCGTGGGTTTGAATGTCGATGTGTTTGTGGGCAGTCTTGTGGATTCTTTTCAAAGTCCAGGATTTTTCCGCTCCGAACGTCACTCTTGATTTTCCTTTCCAGTTGAGGCGGGAGAAGATCGATCTCGAGAACACGCTAGAGCAGGAGCAAGAAGCCCTGGTCAACCGGCTGTGGAAACGGATGGACAAACTGGAGGCAGAGAAGAGGTGGGGGATGATCTTATATGTCCACTTCCAAAAATCTGCTTGTTTTCAGCAACATCTTGTGTTTTAATCAGCAGGTCATCTGATTATCAACTAACCTATGAATTTAGACCTAGTTTCAACACTAGTTCATCATTTGGTTGTCATCATGCCATTGTTTCTGTTGATTCCTACTTAACAAGTTTTTTTCTCTTTGTTCTCCCGGACTAGAATCCTTCAAGAGAAGCTGGACCAGCCCGTGTCAGCTCCTCCCTCCCCAAGAGATGTTTCCATGGAGATAGACTCACCGGAGAACATGATGCGGCATATCCGTTTCCTGAAGAACGAAGTGGAGAGGCTTAAGAAAAGCTTGCGCACCACCGAGCTGCAACGTAAGTGGCCTGTCAACCTGTCAGCTGATCCGAGGGAGTTTGGGGTCTGTGGATGCAAACAGGTGTTAATTAAGGTTGATGATTACTAATATGGGTC